CATATTAATGTATAGTTTACAAAGGTTTAATAAAGCACACCTAACTAACCTGACAGAGGGTTAATATAAAAAAAAAATAATAATAATAATTTTTTAATATTTAATAACATTTTTTAACTTTCATTTAATAAATAACTATATATTTTTAATTCTTTATATCTTTTTTTTTTTTTTTTTAACTCACAATCATGTCAAAATGGCTTGTCTTTATTAAAATACTTGAAAAAATACCAAAATAATCTACAGACCTTCTCATATAATGACTAACTTATCTTTGTACATTATTAGTTGAAGAACTATAAACTTAGTTCAACTCAATCATGTGTATTGGTTTTATCATCCAATAAAACGTAAAAGATTTAATACGTAGATGTTATGCTACCCAATCATATTATTGAGCTAGCCAATCCGTGTTTAAGCAAAGTCACGTAAGGGGAGCACAGCTCAACATCTCTATTAAACTCGATAGCCAATTAAAGAGAATTCTTGTCATGCTTTCGTTGGTTGCTCGAAATTATGGATCGATTTACGCGGGCTGACTTGACTTCGTCACTACAACCCGTATTAGCAGCTAATGAAACTATACTTGCAACACAAGACAATGTTGGACTTTATGATGGGTATGAAATCGCTTTTTATAGAACTTTCTTCACTGAATTTACAGTACATTTTTGAATATGCTAGTAATGAGAAAGCAGCCGATCATTCGAATGGCATAGTATATTTAACTTCTCATCGAGTTTTTTACGTGGATTTACGACAGCCAACAATCCATTCGATTGCAGTTGATTTAAGACTAATCAAAGGAAGAGATTTTTATGTAAGTTTTGTTTACTTGAATTAGAATTAACAACTCATATATTCGCCAGTCCAATCTAAATTAATCCATGGAATAGATAGGATTTGTGAAATCCTCACCTAAGATAACCTTGAAATTCTCAGAATCAGTATCGCCTGAAAATAGAATTTATTCTAATTCTCCGTATTCATCGACTACTTCTTTATTATCATGGATTTGTCCAATATGTTCATATAACAATCATCAAGGTGCCAAATGTAAAGTATGTGGTGTTAAGCGACCAGAAGGTTCTATGGTTTCTCCGACCCCTCTGGATAAACTTCTAATTTCCAGAGAAAGTGCCGACTCGTACACCAAATCATCAGATGATAATGATATCCGAATTGAATGCCCAAAATGCACATTCTTAAATCATCCAAGTATGAGTATATGTGAGATTTGTGACAACAAGTTAGGAATCTACGACATAGAAAACGATGCTGAGGCTATAAAGAATGTAGTTGATAGATCCGGAGATAGGCCAGATTTCATAAAACTTGCTTTTCGCGGTGGAGGTCACAACGCGTTTTATGAGAAACTGAAATTAGCAATGTCGATGAAGGAATGGGAGGTGTGTTTATTAGCCTCATAGTGAAATTATATGCTCGATGTTTATTTTATTTCTGACTGTTTAAATATGTTTGTTGTTTATTTAGAAAACAGTAGAACCCCAGATAAGTGAATCTAGTTCAGAAGTTGGTCCTAGTCTTGGAGGGATAAGTATGTTTTATTCAATTATGAACTTAATCATTGCACGCATTAAATATTGTTAGTATTATTATGAAGGAGCTATATTTAACAAAGCGGAACAAAATAAAAAGGAACAGGAACAAACGTTGACCCAAGCTTTCAAAGATTTAGACGGTTTGATGACAAAAGCCGCTGAAGTGGTTAGGACAATTGCTTCTTCCTTTTCATAATTTAATACAACGGTTATTTCTTATTAATATTTGTTCATGCAGGTCAAACTTGTAGAATCCATTAGTCTAAGGATAAATAAGGAATCGACCGATTCTGAAAGTTCAGTAGATGAAACCAACACTTTTAGAACTTATTTGATCGAGTTAGGAATATCTAACCCTGTGACCAAGTATGTTTTTGATGAGAAAGTTTTAATTGAACAATATTAACGTGGTGAACATTAATTATAGGGATTCAGCGGGATCTATATATCATAAAGAATTAGCTCGCCAGCTTGCAGAGTTCCTTGAAAAGATATTAGCAAAAGAAAATGGAATGATGGCTCTAACAGATATTTATTGCGTTTTTAATAGAGCACGAGGAGTTTGTATGCATCCTTTTCTCTTTGTGGTTATTATATCGTTGATCTCATTCGTTTTACCATTATTCCCTAGCTTTGATCTCACCCGACGATTTATATAAAGCCTGTTCTCTTTTTGAAAGCCTAAACTTGCCAATGCGGTTAAGAAAATTTTCAAGTGGATTGTTAGTTGTTGAATCAAATATCCTTTAGCAGCATAATAATTTAAATATTATTCATGTTCTCATCGATATCAAGTAAAATTTATCATTCTTAACTTCTCCCACCGTCCTTTAGTGATGAACAAACTGCTCAACATATCTTGGAGCTCATTAAAACTACTGGACCGTTGACTGCAATAGACTTAGCATCTTTGGATAAGATGAGCATTGCTCTGGCAACTGAGCAATTACTGGTTTGTTTTGTAACCTAAATTCTGTTTCTCTTATTTCTTTGAAGAACGCTTTATTTATTTTTATATAATTCATAGATGGTGGAGGCGAGAGGACTTATTTGCAGAGATGAAACGGTTGAAGGGATTCGATTCTATGAAAATTTGATAATAAATTTTCAATGGGTTCGTGATTAAACAAATTACCTGAGATACGGTGAACTATCAAATTTTAATTTTCATTAGTTATATAAAGTCTGAATATGCATAAAATAGTCTTTTCATTATAGTATTGAAAAATGTAAAATATTAATAATGTAACAAAATGCCATTTGTGCTTTTCAAATCTTTGTTTCTTATCAATTAATTTGATAACAATAAAGGATCATACATGATTATTTAATGGACTTTCGAAATCTCGAGACCATTAGCTATTTTCTGTCATTAGGAAGTAATACAAGATGATATATAAATTAATGTCACTATATTTTATGCTTAATCCCTATTCATAATATTTTTGGCCATTTATACAGTATATAGAACCTCAAATTGGCAAGACTTTTACAAATATTTAGCCATAATTCCTTTAAATCATAAATATAATATATAATTAAAATTCGGCAAATGTATGAATTTTGGCAAATATCTAACAATTTTTTGAGGAAAATTTTAATAAAATATATAATAAAAATGGTGCAAATATGGCAGATAATGTCGAATTATATAGTAAAAATTGGTTGATGATTTATTTATGCCAAATTATATAGTAGAAATTGATTGACAATACAATTTATTTATGCTGAATTATATATCAAATTATATAGTAAAAATTGATTGACAATTTATTTATGTCATTAATACTAGTCAAAAAAAAATTTATTTAGCATACCACCACTTGTGTAACATTCAGCAAAAAATAAACTACAAAAATTAACATATTAACTAATTTATTAACAATTTGATAATAATTCATTAAAAGTTCATCACAAAATTATTTATTAATAATTCAATAAAAATTCGGCATTAATTTATTAATAGTTTGTCAAAAATTTGTCAACTATTCATTAAAAATTCAGCAACTATTCATCAAAACTATTC